GAGAAAAGCGTTTTGCGCAAGGATAAATCCCATCGCGGGGTTTCGGGATTGTTTACAATACCTTTCAAGCATCCCTAAGCCGGCCAAGGACATACCATAATAGTTTGTACCAAAGATTTTCATACTACCACATTTATCGCTCGTTCGCCGGTAAAAGATAGTCGGTAGTTAAACGTCCTCCCAAATACCGCTACAGCAATAAACTTTCATGCGATACTAAAACGAGATCGATAAAGCAAGTGCAGCGAGTGCTACCCTTGGTCAAACATCGACCAGCAAGTCAAAGAATGTCCGCATTGATCTTGAATTGCCATCGAAAGTAGGGCTAAAGATGTAATAGAACTCGCCGGAACAGTGCGAATCGACAGAGAATCATTGCCAGTATTTCTAATGCACGTAGTTTCGCTGCAGTTGGGTCAGTACTTCGCCCAGGAGAGTCTCGAGTTTATTGCGATCTCCTAAAACGGGAAATACCTCCCCGCTACTTATCATCTGATTGCCACTGGTGTCGGTCAAGACTTTCATGGTGCATCTCTTTCACAATTATATTGTTCGTTCGAATCCGACCACCTTCGTTGCGTAAATCCAAACAACAGTTTCGGAGTCTTTTTCTTTTATGGCATACACGTCCACAATGTTGAGCAAGTTTCACTTTGAGAATTATGACGACGTCATACTAGTTGGTGGGCCGGACCATATTGTTCACGACCGTGGTATGGATTTCTTTGCGCTGATCAGAACCAACAGCTCCACATCGCATGAAAGATGCATTTACTGTAACCGACTGCGCTGCATGAAGCACCTAACGTAAAAGAAAACCCCAACGGAAACCTTAATATGTAGTTTTCGATTGAATTTAATGTTGCACATACTCTTCAGGATACGTGGATAAATCGTTCATATTCTCATTTTTCAACATTTTTTAGTCTAATTATGATTGAAGTAGACATAATAGTCAGATTTTCCTCGTTGGTTATCGAGAAAAGAATCCATTTCTGAAGTTTACCGTGATCGAAGAGAAGCGAGAAGCGCATATCTGCGGGGAGAGAAGAAAGGCTGCAAGTACCCGAGCTGCCATTTGGGCATATGTACAGAGCAGAGCTCTGACAGTAAAATATGAAATTGTATTGACGTTTTTGAAAACATTATACGTTATTCCGTATCGGTAAAATCAATAAGAAATTATTCAATTATTACACTATATTGTTAGGGAGAACGGTGTAGAGGGTTGGGAACGACCCTACCAATCCACTACGCACGAGTTCGAGTCCCACACCTGTTACGAAGCTGGAATCTGTCACTAGGTCCTTTATGATCCTGCTCGGGTCTCTTGCCACTCAAAATTATAAGGCCTGTTCCAGAGGCTTGCTTGCTGACGTTTCCGCACAGCTTGCAGGAGAACTGACCGACACCGCAGTCGGTGTAGAAGAAGCTTGAAATGGCTCGAGAGGTGAACATGATGCTTGTACTTGTCAGAATTGAGAATGAGCAGTCATGAGATGATGCAGAACTTGGGTAAGACCCGTAGGAGCCAACCATTCGATATAGTCTTGTTCAACCACGAGATTTACTCTTGTCACTTTTTTCCTTGTGGTAAAAAGTCAATACAATTATTACCGATGATAGTGGATATTTTACGGGAACCTGTGATTTCCAATAATACGTTATTCCGCAATATAATACCATAATTATTATTGGGGCGAATCCCCCCCCTATAACTGTGTGTATTTGTTGTATAATACATACTCCTATTTACACTCTCTTTTTCTTTCCTACGAAGTGGATATATTAGTTTCTGGGATGGGTTAGGGTGACAATTTATAATCGTCTACATAAGGGCCAAAAACGACGAAAATTCCTTCGGTTTAATAACATTGTGCTCATTATTATAAGAATTGTCAGGCTGATTCTATTCACTTGAAGTATCGAAACGCCAAGTCGCTAAAGTTCTTAAACTGAGGGCACATTTTATTAAACAAGGATTTTCTGTCGTTCTATGGTGACCCTTCAAATTGAGCTAAAAATGTTTTTTTTTTTGCTGTGGACGCGTCGGTTATCTTGCGTGATTCACCCTTCTATAAGCCCTTAAAAACAGGAAAAACCTGTAAGAGTTAATGCTATCGTAAAAAAATCTGGCCTGTAAAAAGAGTAAGAATGCTGGTCTCTTGGATGCTGTATTATAACTTTACGACTCGGTGGTGGCTCGGATGACCAGGATGCTGTGCTTTGGAGGGGCGGCAGGCAAATGACTCGCTCGGTGAATGCCCAAGTTGGAGCATGTGCCACAATCGAATTCACCGCCTGGTGCACAAGTCAAGTCAGATCTCAATCAAGCTACATTG